GGTAAAGCCTGGCGCTCTCAGAGGGAAAGGGGTTTTAGAGGTCCTGTGTCATCCTGTCCATGTTTTCCTTTTCCTGTCTCCTGTCTCCACGATGACTTCCTGGGAGGGGAAGATGCGCAACAGGGAGGAGGAGAGGGAGGGGACAGTTATTTACTAATCTGGTAGCACCTCTCCAAGGCAGAGCACCGAGGCTGATCGTCTCCTGTGACCCACTTCCTTCTGTGGCCCAGAGCAAGCATCACCCTGGCTGCTGGTGACTGTGCTACGATCGTTTTGCTCCAACTTACTCACCTCTCCCGGCGAGCCAGGAAGGAAATACCACGCCTGGCATTGGGCAATGCCAAGGCCCAGGCAGGGCTCCATTAACCCCCAGAATGAATCCCGGTTCCCATCTGCTGGGCCCCACCCACACTGTGCTGGGGCATCTTCGCTAATTTATGAGCTTCTCCACTTTGCCTGTTATTGTGTTCCTCTTATTAATGAGCGGACTTAGCATATTCAGGACTTCCTTAATTAGCGCTTCCTCCTCCCTGAGCATTCTGTCCTAGGACTTTTATAGGTCCTTTCTGGCCTTGCACAGATTGACACTGTGCCAGACGACTCGGTCTTTCCACTGGAAAGCACAAGGTGCGGGATGAGCAGCAGCTTCTTCCAGCGGACCGACTGGGAGCCACGTCAGCTCAGGCCCAGAGGGGTTCTTGCTCCCGAGGGCCACCAGCCCACCAGCTCCTTCTATGGAGGGCAAACACCACATATGACCAGCGTGGAACAGGAGGGATTCTGATTCAGAGGCCTCGAGTTTGGTCTCTAAAGGTGTACGCATGCTAAGTCGCTTCAGTCGTGTCTGACTCTGTGACGCCATGGACTGCAGCCCGCCAGGCTCCTCTCTCCATGGGATTCTCCAGGCAAGAACACTGGAGTGGGTTGCCATGCCCTCCTCCAGGAGATCTTCCCGACCCAGGGATTGAAACCATCTCCTGCATTGGCAGGCGGGTTCTTTACCACTAATTCCGCCTGCGTAGCAGAGTTCTATCTGGTTCACTGCTCTTTTGAGCTTGCTGGTTTCTGAGGGAGGTCTGTGGGGCAGCTTTTCACTTTGGAGGTGCTTTTCCCTCAATTTCTCTCTGGCTGAGGTGGGTCGGGGGGAAGGGTTGAAGGTGAGGGGACACAGTCCCAGGGAACAAAACGCCTTTCTTTTCATTCCGTGGCGTTCCACACACCGGCATACTTAATAAAACAGGTGGCAGGCCTGGCAAATCCAGGTGCTGACTCAGCCCTGACACCTCTTCCCTTTCATCTTGGACCTCGACTGTTTTAACAGCCGTGCTTAATGAGAAGCAAAGGAAGAGTTTATCTCCTTAACATGCCGCCCTGAAGCTACTGTGCATCCTGGATTCCTCTCCCAGGATGCTGGGGCCGTCATTTCTGGTTGTATTAATAATTTACCTGGTCTAACAAGAACTACTGATAGGGTCATCTGGAAAACAACAACAAAGCCAAACCACTGATACGCTTACTTTTTTCAGGGGAGGGGGGAAGCAAGTTTATAAAACACAGTGGCTGATGTGCAATTCCATATTTTTGGTGGAAAAAAAAAAGTTTCACTTATGGACAGAAGTACAGTTAGGCAGGTTTAAAAGATTAGCATTGAACGGTGGTATAAAACATTTAAATTTTTTTTAGGTATTGATTGCCTTTGGTAACTTTGAAAAATTTCCCCAACAGGGAGGGAAGTGGGAGGGGGGTTCAGGATGGGGGATACATGTACATCCACGGCTCATGTCAACGTATGGTAGAAACCACTACAATATTGTAAAGTAATTAGTCTCCAATCAAAATAAATAAATTAAAAAAATTTCTACAACAAACATATATTAGATTTTTTTTTTTTTAAGATAAATCCACAAACCCCAGGATATCCATGGTTAATCAAATCTGGACTTAGTTTAAACTGTCTCTCGGATACAGACAAAAAATCTGTATGTCAATAGCTAATTTCCACTCTTATTCCTCCTTCCTCAATTCAGACCCACCCTTCCCCCCAAGCCCAGGGGGTTGAAGCTAATGAGAAATTATCGCTCATTATTTGTGTTTGACTGTACCACATTCCCCTCCCACCCCGAGACCTGGCTTCTTCCCACAGTGAGAGCTGTCACAGAAGTGCACAGGGCCGGGAGTGGCTGTCTTTCCACAGCCCTAAAATGTTTGGTTTCCCTCACCTCTGCTTTCTCCTGAAAGGCTGGGGATTAGAACTACTATCTGTTCTCAGAGGGGGTTTGTGTATAAAAATTTTCTGTTCAAACCTGGGTTGAGACAAGCAGACTCTCGAGTGTGGAACCAGGCTTATCTCTTCCTTCTGTCTGGGGCTGTGTCCTCTGCAAGAGCCAGAAGAAAGCCAGGCCTCAGAGAGAAGCTTCTAGTCTAAGTGTCTCCAGTTTTCTCAAAAATGGCCTGCCTCCTCCTCACCTGAAGTTAAGCCTTGGTGAAGTCTTGGTATCACCCCACTTCAAGGAAGGAGAAGAGCTTATAAAAAAACATCTAGAAGATCGGGAAGATGACAACCAGTCATTCAAGAGTAAAACAGCATTGCTGGTTGATGAAGTTTGAAAACTGAAAATTTTGAAACCCTAGGTGGTAGTTCCCAGGGGATGAGGAGAAATGCCCTCCAAGCAGGAGTCAGCTACTGGAGCCACCGTTCTCGGAGGCTCTCCCGCGCCTCCCTTCCACTCACAGTCACAGAGCACCGCGGGCCGTGACGAGGGCCTTCCGAGTGGCCCAGCCCTCGGGTTTGCTGCCCTGCTGCTGCAAACTTCAGAGGGAGGCGACCTCCCAGGAGACTATATTCACCCCAAGGAAGGCTTGTGTGAAGGGGGCTGAGGGAAACAGCGTGTTTGAGTGAACACCAGCGCCGCAGTGGGCACTCGGTAAACGAATTTGTCATTAAGAACACGAACTCTGGGACTTCCCTGGCGGCCCTGGGGTTAAGACTCCAGGTCCCACTGCAGGGGGCACAGGTTGCATCCCTGGTTGGGGAACTAAGACCCTGCATGCTGCCAGGGCAGCCAAGAAAACCAGAATGTGGACTTTGGAGCTGGTGGATCTGGGTTCACATCCCAGCACAGGCTCTGAGAGCTGAGTGGCCTTGAGCAAAGGAGAGCCGTGTGCCCACCACACAGGGCGGCTGCAGCAGTCAAGAGGGAGCGCTCTCACGCGGTACAGAAATGGGAGCGAAAGACATAACAGGGCGCTCGAGGGAACGCAGGGAGTGTCAGAACTGTTCTGTGTCTTGACTGTGGTGGAGGACACACAATATCGCACATTTGTCAAAACCCACGGTTGGTACACCACAAACAGTGAATTGTACTTGATGTAATTTTTTTTGAGAGACTGGTTATCTCGATGATTCCTTCCGGTTTTGACGTTCTGTGGATTTCCTCATCTATAAGACAAGAGCTGTTGTTGGAAAAGAATGATAGAACTGTCATGCTTTTGCATCATTGTGGGGAAAAAAAGACACATATGCTCTTAGAGCTTCATTCATTCACCTCAGTGTCCTGGTCCCGTCTGCCCCCGATCCCTTCAGGATTTCCCCAGGCCAGAGATGGACAAGGATGCCGGTCAGAGTCTCAGGTGGTGACCTGGAGCAGCCATACCTCAAAGCTGCATCGTGCAGGATGGTAGCCCTGATACACCACGTGCCTAGTGCAGCTTGAAATGTGGCAACTGTCCCTGAAGAACTGAATCTTAAATTTCATTTCAATTAATTTACGTTTAAACTTGGAAACTGAATCGGCGTAGAATATTTTCCTATTAGAAACAGCTTTATTCAGACAAAAACAAATATCATACGATATCACTTATATGTGGAATCTAAAATAAAGACACAAATGAACTTATTTACAGAATAGAAACTGACTCACAGACTTTGAAAACAAATTTATGGTTACCAAAGAGAAAAGGTGGGGGTGGGGTGGGAATAAATTAGGAGTTTGGGATTAACATACACACACTACTATATATAAAATAGCTAACTAACAAGGACAAATGGTAAAGAATCTGTCTGCAAGGTGGGAGGCCTGGGTTCAATCCCTGGATTGGGACGATCCCCTGGAAAAGAGAACAGCTACCCACTCCAGTATTTCTGCCTGGAGAATTCCATGGACTGTTTAGTCCGTGGGGTTGCAAGGACACGACTGAGTGACTTTGACTTTCCCTTTTTTTTACTGTGTAGCACAGGAAACCCTATTCAGCCTCTGTAATAACCTACACTGGAAAATAATCTGAAAAAGAACAGATAAATGTATATGTATATCAGAATCACTTTGCTGTACCTGAAACTAACACAACATTGTGAATCAAATATACTTCAATGTAAAAAATAAATTGAAAAAGGACAAAAAAGACAACTTTACTGTTTTGGTATGACTACATTTTATTTTTAATATAGCATTCATTTAAAAAATCGAGACAGAATTCCTATACCATTCAATTCACTATTTGGAAGTATACAACTTAATGACTATTGGTGTATTCACGAGGTTATACACCCATCACACTTATTCCAGAGCAATTCATCACCCCCTAAAGAAACCCTGTCCCTAGTAGCAGTCACTCCAAAACCCAACTCCTAGTCCCCCGGAAACCACCATCTGCTTCCTTTCTCTATGGATTTGCCTATTCTGGACATTTCACATAAAAGAAATCATTATATATATATATATGTAATATATATATATATATTATATATATAGTCTTTTGTGTCTGGTTTCCTTTCCTTAGCCTCTTTTTTTTTCAAGGTTTCCTTCCTCCTATTGTACTTTATTCCTTTTAAAGGCTGAATAATGAAAGTCAAAGAGGAGAGTGAAAAAGTTGGCTTAAAACTCAACATTCAGAAAACTAAGATCATGGCATCCGGTCCAATCAGTTCATGGCAAATAGATGGGGAAACAATGGAAACAGTGAGACTTTATTTTGAGGGGCTCCAAAATCACTGCAGATGGTTACTGCTGCCATGAAACTAAAGACTCTTGCTCCTTGGAAGAAAAGCTATGATCAAACTTAGACAGCATATTAAAAAGCAGAGACATTATTTTGCCAACAAAGGTCCATCTAGTCAAAGCTATGGTTTTTCTAGTAGTCATATATGGATGTGAGAGTTGGACTATGAAGAAAGCTAAGTGCAGAAGAATTGATGCTTTTGAATTGTGGTGTTGGAGAAGACTCTTGAGAGTCCCTTGGACTGCAAGGAGATCCAACCAGTCCATCCTAAAGGAGATCAGTCCTGAAAATTCACTGGAAGGACTGATGCTGAAGCTGAAACTCCAATACTTTGGGCACCTGATGGGAAGAACTGACTCATTTGAAAAGACCCTGATGCTGGGAAAGACTGAAGGCAGGAGGAGAAGGGGACGACAGAGGATGAGATGGTTGGATGGCATCACTGACTCGACGGACATGAGTTTGAGTAAACTCCGGGAGTTGGTGATGGACAGGGAAGCCTGGAGTGCTGCAGTCCATGGGGTCGCAAAGAGTTGGACACGACTGCCTGAGCGACTGAATTGAACTGAACAACTGTATGGATATACTACCTCTTGTTAATTTACCAGTTGGTGGACATGTAGATTTTTCCACTTTTTGGTCCCTAGCCCTTGAAAATGTAGCATCCAAAATGAGCTGTGCTGTAGTATTAAAATCTGTATCAGAGTTTAACAATTTGTACAAAAAGTAAGATCCCCTCATTAGTGCTTTATGTATACTGACTACACACTGAAGTAATAATTTTAATACATTGAGTTAAATATATCATTTTTTATAAAAAGAGCCTAAGAACAAGGCTTCCCTAGTGGCTCAGATGGTAAAGCGTCTGTCTGCAATGCAGGAGACCTGGGTTGGGAAGATCCCCTGGAGGAGGAAATGGCAGCCCACTCCAGTATTCTTGCCTGGAAAATCCCATGGACCGTGGAGCCTGGTATGCTACCATCCATGGGATCGCAAAGAGTCGGACACAACTAAGCAACTTCACTATCACTTTCAAGAACAAGGCAGGGAACAGTGAGCTGTTGAGGAGGGGGCAGGAGCCCGTTCCCCCAGGATCTCGCCCTTCAGCACCCCCTGCCCAGTGCTGAGTCTGAACGGGGAGCAGCGTGGGCCCGGCAGCAAGAACAGCCACTCTCGGGGTCCCCCTGCCTCGGCACCCAGGGGAGCTGCAGAGAGGACAAGTCCAGGCAGGAGCTGGTGGATGACCGTCCCCCTGGGAGGGGACCCGAGACTGGAATGACCGCACAAAAGGAGTGATCGGAGCGGCCAGAGGCAACAGCGGCTTCTCCGAGCACCTGGCCTGTGCCTGGCCAGAGAGTCGGTCAAGTCCCCACAAGCTTCTGGGCTCCTCTCCTTGCCCAGGAGGGAGGGCAGTGACTGGGCGGAGACAGAGGCTTCTTTCTCTGGGCACCAGGGTCCCAAGCAGCCATGGGAGGCGGGAGCCCAGGCCCTGCTGGGTCAAGTACCTCACGTACGTGTCTGTAGGCAAGTCCGTTCCACGCTCTGGGCTCGTCAAGACCGGATGAGATGACTTGGAAGGTGTTTTCCAGCTTTAACATTTTAGGGTTCTGCAAAAAATCCTGAGTGAGATATCGTGAGCTCAGTGCAGGCTTTATCCTTCCCAGCTGGGTGACTTCTCTGCTCCTCATTCCCTGTCTTTAAGATGGCAAAGTAATCATTACCTCGCGTGATACTGCAAGGTTTAAATCAGACAAGTCGTTGCTGGCACTTAGAGCTCACTGTGTAACAAGCACTGTCCTAAGGAATTTGCACAGATGAGTTGATTTAATCTGTCCACCAAACCCTCTAAAGCAGGGGTCCCCAACCTCTGGGATCTATTGCCTGATGATCTGAGGTGGAGCTGATGTGATAATAATAGAAATAAAGTGCACAATAAATGTAGCACTCTTGAATCATCCGGATATCCCCCACCCACCCACCCACCACTACCACCATCGTGCTCTGGATGAAACTGGTCCCTGGTACCAAAAAGTCTGGGGACAGGTCTCAGAGGAGTCCCATTGACCAAATTCATACAGTGAGGATGCTACAGAGCGAGGGTTTTGAACCCAGAACGCCCAACTCCAGAGTCTGTTTCTTTACTCACATGCCAACCTGCCTCCAGCATGGATGGGAGGCATCACATTCAGTAAATGTTGGAAAGGGGAGAAAGGTGGAATTCCATGATTGTTAAAATACCTCTGGTGGAAACACTACTAAGACGATAGGGACACCAAGCCCAAAAGGATGAGGTGACGTGTCCTGGGCCACCGCCAAAATGGTGACAGCGCGAAACCCGTCTCCTGGCTCAGAGCTCCCCTATGTATTTGAAACTGGAGTGGATCTCTAGTTATGCATGCAAATCTGCTGGCAGATACATGGCCCTGGCCCAGGCTGATTTTGGCTGATTAAGATCTGAATATCAGGGCAGTGCTTCTGGAAGTGCCTTTGCCTTCTTCTGTGCACAGCCTCTGAATTTCCTCCAGGTACCATTTTTAGTTGTTCAGTTTTGCGTTATTAAGGACTGGCTGTTCAGGGCGCTTAATGTCACTCTTGTCTTCAGAGACTCAGTTTAGATAGTTCGTGAGTGTTTATTGTGTGAAGAGCATGTACTAGGCATGGTAGCTATACGTGGAAGGAACTGTTAATACCTCCCTGCCCTGCCCTCTGGGAGTTCCAGTTGAATCAGACAGATAGAACAAATCCCCTTGCTCAAGAAGATTCCTTATAGATGGACAAAAATGATAAAAACCAGTGTTGGTGATGATACAGGGAAACAGTCACTCTCGTTCCCTCTTGGTGGGAAAAGAACTCGCTATAACCTTTTTGGAGGGCAGTTTGGTAACAGGTATCAAAAATCATAAAATCGTGCCTACCCTAAAACCACCCTGAAATTCTACTTCTTGAAATTGGCTCCAAGGAAATAATGATGGCTGGACACAAAGATTTAGTCATAGTTTATGCAGCATTGTTTATAAAAATAGAAATACTGGATATGTCCTGAATATCCATCAGTGGGGGACTGATAAATGAGGCCATATCTTTCATACAAAGGTCATAATGGAACATTTGATGTTGGAAAGAGATTCACATTGTCAGCTAGTGGGGGTAAAAAGCAGGTTATAAACAGGATCTATGGTGTGATGGCAATTTTTCTCCCCCAAGAATCTGCACTTGCTGTGAGAAGAGCTAACATTTGCTGAGTCACTTTTAGCTGTTATTTCAATCATATAACATAGATGCTGTCTTTAAAATTTAAAAAATATATTTTTTAATTTTCATTTTACAATTGAGGAACTGAGGCTCAGAGGGTTCAAGAGACTAGCCCACATGTATACAGCTAGGGTTAGAGTCCGGTTGAAGAGGTTGTGCATTTAATTGCAGGGCAGTGGTCTTCCTCTAAATAGGTAAAGTGTAGGAAAGAACAACGGTGGTTCTCTTTGGATAAAATTTCTTCATTATGTGCATTGCATTTTTTTTTTTCAATCTCAAAGACCATGGGTTTCTTTTGAAATAAGAAAAAAATCATTTTTTTATTTTAAATAACCTGACCTATTGAATTCTACAAATCTGAGACCCAAAACATGACCTATTGAGAGGATTTTTCCCTGGCAACTCCTCCACCTGCCAGATAGTTGTTTCAGGTTGAGGGCAGAACACCCAAAGTTCTGGTCTTTAAAACTACTAAGGGGGACCCTCATCCTCAGCCAGCCCCGCTCAGGCAGAATCCCGAAGGTCAAGGTTCCAGCTGGGGGGTTCCAGTCGTCCCGTCAGCCCCTGAACTCCAGGGTCTGGACTTCACCTGCAGTTCCAGGTGCGCAATCAGGTCACAGTGGCCCCGCTCTTCATGTTTAAGGCTTCAATCCAATCCATTTCAGAAAGAGTTAGGCAAGGAGAAGCCCAAAGAAGGAGCCAAAGATTCAATTCCCTGGAGTCACTCACAGCAGGGAGTTGGCTGCTGTTGTTTTTTACTCCCTGGGCTGACTGACTACTCTGATGTGTTTGCGATGGAAGCATCTGTCACAATGGCTTAGACAGATGACTATATCCTGGGTTTCCAAAGAACTGTGCGTGCGTGTGTGGCAGGTGGGCAATGGGAGGAGGAGGAGACAGCGAGTTGTAATCATAACAGCAAAATGATAATACTAATACTCAACATTCACTGAGAACTTACACATGCTGAGAGGTTTACATGCATTATCGCATTGAATGAATCCTCCCTTGAAACATGTATATTATCAAGTGTGAAACAGATCGCCAGCCCAGGTTGGATGCATGAGACAAGTGCTCAGGGCTGGTGCACTGGGAAGACCCAGAGGGATGGGGTGGGGAGGGAGGCAGGAGAGGGGATCGGGATGGGGAACACATGTAAATCCATGGCTGATTCATGTCAATGTATGGCAAAAATCACTACAATATTATAAAGTAATTAGCCTCCAACTAATAAAAATAAATGAAAAAAAAAAAAAAAGCCATGAGGTAGGCACTGTTATACCGATCTCAAAGGTGGGAGAACCCATGCTAGGTCATATGAAACAACTTGCCCATGGTTATGTCATGCAATTGATAAAAGGTAAAGTTAGAGTTACAAACCCAAGTCCTCCTCTAGTTAAGCACCCTCTTCCTGGAGCTGTGGGAGCCCTCCAAAGACTTCACACTTCCCAGAAACACACACACACACCCTTTCAATCTCAGGGAAACCACTGTTTTCAAGTCTCACATTTCACCTGGATTAAGAGTGCCACTTTGGAGCTAGTCCAGCTTCATGGCTCTGAGATCAGGCAGTCCTGGGTTTATATCCTATTTCTAGCATAACACATTCCTCTGACCTTAGGCCTCGGTATTATCAGTGTAAAGTGGAGACTGATAACAGTAATACATACACACACATACATCATCACATAAAGCTTGGACAGTTCAGTTCAGTCTCTCAGTAGTAACTCTTTGTGACCCCATGGACTGCAGCACACCAGGCTTCCCTGTCCTTCACCAACTCGGAGCTTGCTCAAACTCGTGTCCATCGAGTCAGTGATGCCATCCAACCATCTCATCCTCTGCACATAGATACTATTGTTTAGTTGCCAAGTCATGTCCAACTCTTTGCAAGCCCATGGACTGTAGCCCATCAGGTTCCTCTGTCCATGAGATTTCCCAGGCAAGAATACTGGAGTGGATTGCCAGGGGATCTTCCTGGCACAGGGATGGAACCTGGGTCTCCTGCATTGCAGGTATTATCTTTACAGTCTGAGACACCCTTAATTTGCCAAAAATATAATATAGCTAATGTATATAATGTAATATAGCTAAACCATTCACATTTGTGATGCAGATTTTTCTGTTTTCAGATTTAATGGCTACCCTGTATCTCATGGGGATTAAGTGTGTGTGCACGCGTGTGTGTGTATATATATATGTACTT